TTGAAATATTTGTTTATTTATTTACAGTGTCCTCAATTAGCACATTAGTGCTAAATACATCGACACTTAAATAAAGTGATTATTATTATTATCATTATTATTATTATTATTATCATTATTATTATTATTATTATTATTATTATTATTATTATATGTAACCTTAAACAACTGGTTCCTTCGAACATCCAAAGGCACTTCCATCAACGTCTCAAGAGGAGGTGTATCAGCATAGAGATCCAACACTAAAATAAATAAATAAATAAATAAACAATGTTAAACATGTACATGGGTTTTTAGATGCCATTGAAATAACCTGTACCAAAGAGTGTGCTGAAAGCTTTACTTCTATAACTTGATAGCAACACAGAAGAAGCAAAAGCAGTTGAAATATTCAATGACATATAAAGAGAGTGTCTCTCCTTAAGTTTCATTTTCTTAGGGTATTTCCTAAAAGAAATAGGAACATTTTCTCTTTGTTTCAAGTTATAGAAACACTTGCAAAAGTTAAGGAGAACAAGAAAAACTGTGGAAGCACATGCTTGCAACTCCTTTTCTCACATCATTTCTCATTCTCTCAAACTTCCACTCGTGTTTCCAAAACTCAATTGAGACACTGACAGAAATTTTTTCTATTTGTTACAAGAAATGTACTAAGTAAACCACGGCTACTACAAAACCTTAGACCTACAAATTAATTTTACTTGACGGTTGATTATGCATTGATGTGGCAAGGGAGAAATTAGATATAATCAGCCTTAATAAAAAGAGTTCTTATTCATTAACCCTCTTGGTTTGAATGCATGCCATAGTCTATCCCTCTTCTCAGCTTCTTCTTGCCTTCCATTGAAAACAATAAGTCTGCTTTGGATGCAATAAACTTCCTCACTCTTTGGTGGAAATTTTCGTCTAGGTTACTAGATCTGCATAGAGTGTAAATATATTAATAAAAGGGTTATTGACCAAGCTTGTTCGGTTGAGATGGCTGGATATTGGCCAAGTTCTTTTTTTGCGTGTTTATAGACCGAGACAGAGTTGAGGTCCACAAACTCACAAAAAAAGAACAAGGCCAATATCCAGCCATCTTGACCAAACAAGCTTGGTCAATAAAGGATTTATTATATGGCTATCGGAGGAATTTTTCTTGCGGGACACAGCAGGTAGTCCCGAGCGGGTAAGATAGCTCCATCTTGCCTGCTCGGGAAGCCAATCACAGTGCAGGATTTGATTCATCTTGCCCGCTCACAGAACTAGTCATTTAAGCAATAGACCACAAGTTTGTGGTTTATAGGCTGATAAACCAAGCGGAATGCTGGAAGAACACGAGAAGAATTCTTCAACAGCCTATAAACCATAAAAACTTGTGGTCTATTGCTTTTATATAATAATTCAGAAGACACACGAAATTTCCATGAGTTTACTGGCACAATAAACCATAGCTGATTGACCAATGAGAGCATGTGCATTCATTCAATTATTATATGAATAATAATTGATATTTTTTTTAAATATAGCTTCTCGATACCAAACCATGCATGCATTATCTTTTATAGATGCAAGTACATGTATGTCTGGAATGTTATGTTGCCAATGCAGTCAGAACCCCTTTTCACATGAAAATGTTTTTTGCATCCTAGATTCTAAACTAAACAGATGATGGTGTTGCTATGTTTCCTAACAAAATAACTAAATGTACTTTTGAGGTCTAGAAAAGCTGCTGAACACACTCTCTTCCTGCTTATGTGAAACATTTCCGTTTGTTAGTAGTTGTGGTCAGTACTTTGACTCAGCTTGTTTTACAAGTGTACCATTTGCAAAAAATGTATTGAACTATGGGCCTGACTAATTTAGATGGACCTTTGTACCGTATATAACAAGCAAAATTGCTATAATAGTTATCAGTGGTACTATTTTTACAGTAAGCCTGCAAGAGATATAATGATAAGTATACCGTTTGATTTCTTGCTGCTTATTTGATGGATGTAACTCTCTTTCATTTTCAGGCATCGGATGTACTCCACTCATTTCCCCTAAAAATTCACTTGCTCCTTCCGTACGACAACTTGCCTAAAGTATACGGAATTTATTAATAACACAACTGTCAACTGTTTTCAACAAAATGAACAAAAATATCACCCCTAACCAAATGAAATGGAATGTGTTTTGTTTTGTTTTGTTTTTTTTTCATATTTGAAAAAAAAAATGATTTGCACACTTTGTAATTTTGCATATTTTCAACAAGTACAGTAATTTGTACCTGCTACACAGTTCAATTTGTTTCTGTACTGGTACATCATTTATAAACCTCTATGGAAAAAACCTTTTCACAGTTTCTGCAGCCATCTTGCTTGGGTGCAAACACAGCAAAAATTAACAGTACATGTATGGGGAAAGTTTAAAGTTTGATGGCCAATAATTTGAGAGTGAGTGATGTTCTGAAGATTTAGTGAGTTACAAGGAAAAGAAACCAAAGAGAAAGTTTTTTTCTGATCAAACTTGAAGGTGAGGAATTGCACTTAGTATATATTTCATACAAATGTCTCTAAATTTTCCCACAAATTGTGACTTATTGTTACAGACAAAAGCATGGAAAAATGAAAACCTTAAACAATATAATTTTTGTGGCTTTTCTGACTTTTCTAGAGAGGTTATTTCCTTCAGATTTTCACCTGGTATCATTTTAAATTCATTAATAATATTTCAGGGCTCACATTTTCTGTGAGTTGGTAGACATTGGATTCTCCACTTTCCCCAAACATTAACTGTCAGTTATTTTTGCCGTGTTTGCCCCCTCCCTCCACCAGGCAAGATGGCATCACAAACCAGGGTGCATTCCCCAAGAACTCCAAGCCAAAGATATGCCAAAGCTTTTCAGCCTTTTTAAATTCTACACCAACAATTTTATTGTGGCTTCGCTGCTCACTGTTAGTAGCTTTGCCATAAAAAACAAAGACCTCTGGCACCCAGGATACCAAGCACCTGGCAAGCGATCAAATTCCCGCGCCACTCTGCCCAAATAATCCCAATTTTCTTCTTATTATGTTTACTGGGAAACGTTGGACTCAGATCATATAAGATACCCGTTATCAACCAGGATACAGTATTCAACATGGGATGAAGTGGGGGATAAGGAGAAGTTAATAAGCCATACTTGTCACACCAAGTTGCCTTACATAGTTAAGCATTTATACACCAGCACCAGCAAATATAAATGTGCTCGCCGCTGAATGCCAAAAACTCCAATAGCACGCCGGTATGCCACAAAATTTTAAAGGCCACACTGAAGATCTTTGGCATGAGCCACACATAAATTATGCACCCTGGATCGGAAATTATTTTCAAGCCCAGACCTCAAAAGTTTATATTTCTGTATTTAATGGAACATAGGGAAGTTATGAGACTGTTTACAAATACTGTTTTTGTTGTTCAAATTTCCAGCCCATAAAACAAAACAAAAAACTTTGTTTCAGCAACCAATAGTTCTCTGGTTGGCACATGAACAATAATTGAGATCAGGGACATCTTGCTATCAAGAGCAAGCCATAAAAGCTAAAATGTTTCCAACTTACTTGAAGCCTATTTCTAAAGTAATTCACAGCCAAATGGTCTGCAGTATTAGGACAAAGGAAGTCTGTTGCCGAACTTTCTCCATCACCTTGTTCATCTTTAGTCAAACTGATCAGGGACTTGCCATGGTATGCTACTGACTGGGCAAAACGATCAATAAATGTTCTTTTGTTTACGTCTGCAAGCACGAAATATTAACGTATGTAGTAAGCACTAAATATTTTCTAGGACACTCAATAAAATGGGTTGAAATAAAATTTAAAAAGTGCATCGCACCAGTTGAATCAATTAAATGATTCATGCATGCATGGCCACACTTGAACAACACATGATACAGTAACGGCAACTCCAAGAGCAATAAGGAAATTACCCTGAGCTTCCTTTTTGTCATTGGAAGCTAGAACATCGAGAAAATTATTACGAGGAACAAAAACTAATGTAAAAGACATGAAAAGATAAGCAATTTCTTACCCATCTCTGTCGCCTCGCTTGATTTGTAGGTATGTACTTCATGTAAGACTACGTGGATGGAAACCTGGAAATCTGGAATGCCGGAAACCAAGGCCTGGAATCCTGAGACCCGGAATGACTTTTTATTTTCAGATGACAAAAGGAGTTAAAATAGGAATAGTTTTGGGTGATGTTTGAAGCTCTTCAAAAATACGGGTCAATACAAAATAACGTAAGAGTTGACCTTATCCACACTTGATAGCACCTGATCATTGACTATAGTTCATGTTGTAGTTGATATCTGAATGTCTCCACAATTCTCTTTACTATTTAACGCAATTCTCCATCTTTTATACATACCTCGAAAGCTTGCACCACCATTCTCATCCCCAGAGGCCACGCTCCTTTTGGCCAGCACCAAGAATTGCGACCAGTTGGGCTGGTCCAACACCCAAAGTTCCATTCTCTTCTCCAGAGGCCGCGTTTCTTTTGGTCAGCACCGATAACTGCGACTTCTAGCCAGGTCCAACACCAGAAGTCCATGATTCATGGACTTTCCGTCAAATCCTACAAATCTGATTGGCTGAGAAAACTAAACAAAAACTGTGCGCATGCTCAGAAAATTGGTTCTGGCCAGAGGTCACGCGAAGAGAAGTGCCGCCTCTGGAAATTGGAATTTTTTATGAACATTAAGTCAAGTAATTTTCGATTTAGACAAAATAATCAAAATAAGTAACATCGGTTGGCTAATAATTAACAAAAAGTAGCCTAACCTTTCCAGATTGTGAGTTCCTCACCACCCATCCGGTCCACCCGTCGCCCTGCTTGGGGAATAGAAGGACGAATAACCAAACAGATACTCGGTTGTAATTTTGTTATGCAGAGCAGAAAATAAGGTGTCACAGTGATATGTGTATCCCCGTGATATGTGTATCCCCGCACACATATCACTAGTGATATGTGTATCCCCTCCAAAATGGCGACCAGTGATAT